GGGGCAAGATCACAAAGCCTAAGTCTTATCCTCCATTTAGTCCAGAATAAGTCAGGTGTACATGCTTTGATTACTCTTCTAAGATCTTTTGTAGATAAGACTATTCTGAGCTGGGCGCCGATGGCTCACGCCTGTAATCCTAGCAACTCAGGAGGCTGAGATCTGAGGATCACAGTTCAAAGCCAGCCGGGACAGGAAAGTCTGTGAGACTCTTATCCCCAATTAACCACCAGAAAACCGGAAGTGGTGCTGTGGCTCAAGTGGTAGAGCACTTGCCTTGAGCTGAAGAGCTGAGGGACAGTAGGCAGGCCCAGAGTTCAAGCCCCGAGACCAACAAAAAAAAAAAAGAAAGAAAAGTTCTGAGTTAGAAACTACAATAACAGACAATTCAACAAAGTCCCTTTTTCAGCTCAAAAAAATTTTAGGGGAGGTACTGGGGTTTGAACTCAGGGTTTCACACTTGTTAACTTTGCAAGCCCTCTAACCATATGTATTTTTTTCAATAGTTTTGAGATATCTGGCTTTTTGCTGGGACCAGTCTGAACAGACCTTTTTTCTTTTTTTGGCACTGGGACTTGAACTCAGGCTGTGAGTTCTTGCATGGCTTTGTTGTTAGCACTCTACTACTTGAGCCACACCTCCATTTCTTGCTTTTTGGTGGTCAAAGATAGAGAGTCTCACAGGTTTTTTCCTAGGCTGGCTTCAAACTGTGTCCTCAGATATTAGACCCCTGAGTAGCCAAGATTATTAGTGGCTCATGCCACAAACACCTGGCTCCCAACTCTCTTAATTAAGTCTCTTACACTGGTTGAGATGACAGGGACACAGCACCACACCCATTTCTGTTGAACTGGGGATCTTGTGAACTTTTTGCAATCTCCCACGTAGCTGCAATAACAGCTACAGGTTAAGATAAGTATCATAAACTTTCTCCCTGGGCTCATCTCAAACCATGATACTCCCATTCTCTACCTCTCCAGTAGTTAGGATTACAAGCATGAGCCACAGTACTCAGCTTTTGTTTGTGGAATTGTTGTTCTTTGAGACAGTGTCACTTATGTGGTGCTGGCTGGCCTAGAACTTCTGATAACCCATCTCTCCTTTCCAAATATTGGGATTATAGGTATACACAATACCTAGCACTTCAACTATGACATTCTAAATCTTTCTTTAATTACATTTTAAAAGTTTACAAAAAGGAAAAAAGCTGAGTGTGTTAGAGCACACTTGCCATTCTGATACCTTAAGAGGCTGAGGCACAGGGCTAGGAATATGGCTTACTAGTAGAGAGCTTGCCTAGCATATATAAAGCCCTGGTTCAATTCATCAGTACCACATAAACAGAAAAAAAGAGAAGTGGCACTGTGGCTCAAATGTTAGAGTGCTATCCTTGAGCAAAGAAGCTCAGGGACAGTGCTCAGATCCTGAGTTCAAACCCCAGGACTGGAAAAAAAAAAAAAAGAGGCTGAAGCAGAACAGTAAACACTTCAGAAAATAAAAAAGGAAGGGAGGGAATAAGGCTAGAATACATGACTTCCACAATCTTTGTTAAGTTCTTTGAACTCATTAATACATCATTTAATGAAATTATACAATATTTAACAAAAGCATTGTCATTCCATCAGTAATAATTTGAGGACTACTTCAAATTAGTCTCACTATAGTATCTTTAAAGCACAAACATTAATTAAATCAACTCTAGACTCTTCTTCAGATTTCATAATATGGGGGGAAAATATATACATATATATCAAAGATTTTTCTCTTCCTCCTAAGCAGGTTCAATAACTATACATCATTAACAACTGACAATATACTAGAATCTTACCATGTCCATGGCAGCCTTTTCAAATTCTTGCTTTTCCTTTCTCAGTTTCTCAGCATGCATCAGCTCCATTCTAAAGTACTACAAAAGGGAAATAATGACCTGAAATTCCTTAGAGATACTTATTTTTCAATTAGAAACATCAAAGATGGCTTTTTGTTTTAATCTATTAATATCACACACAGAAAGGTCAGGAATCTTATGTTTACTTTGTTATGAAACTAGTTGACAATGATAAGGTATAGTAGAAATATTTTATGCTCTTCTAACACTCTAAGGATATAAATCAAACACTTGAAAAATATTTTTGTATCCTTAGTTAACAGTTTACAAATAGCCCTAAGTCCAACCTTATGTTTTTTTGGCACAGTGAAGCAACATGCTAAATAATGTTGCAACAATCCAGCTAAGAAGTACATAAGTTTGTCATCTAACAATAAAAGTTTCTGCAAGTAATTTTATTTATGGTTTCCTGTGCACCAGTAGCTCACACCTGTAATCAGGAGGCTGAGATCTGAGGGTCACATTTCAAAAAACAGCCTGGACAGGAAAGTCTGTGAGACTCTTATCTCTAATTAACTACCAGAAAACTGCAAGTTGGGCTATGGTTCAAACTGGTGGTGATAACCTTAAGGGAAAAAGCTCAAGGACAGCTCCCAGGCCCAAGTTCAAGCCCTACCAAAAAAAAAAAAAAAATTCAGACTTCTAGCCCCACTAAGCACTAAAATAACAGAGTACATCAGGCCCAATAAACAGAAAATTTTAATTATTTGCAGTCTCATAAAATAATAGCTAAGATGTCTAAAATTCAATGGACAATCACTCATCATACAACAAAACCCAGGAAAATCTCAACTTGGATGAAAATCTATCAAGAGATGACATAGATATAAGAATTATCTGACAAGGATTTCAAATTGCTTTCATACTATTCTTTACTGAGGAATAAAATAAACAACTTGAAAAAAGTGAAATAGTATCAGCAAACAGAAGAAATTAGGAGGCTGAGTCAGGAGAATCTTGCATTCCAGACCAGCCTGAACTACATAGCAAGGTTCTATCTCAAAGCTGGGTACCAGTGGCTCACACCTGTAATCCTAGCTACTCAGGAGGCTAAAATCTAAGTCAGCCCTGGCAGGAAAATGTGCGAGATTCTTATCTCCAAATAATCACAGAAAAAGCCAGAAGTGGCACTGGCTCAAGTGGTACAGTGCCAGGACTAGCAGAAAGAAAGAAAGAAGGGAGGGAGGGAGGGGGGAGGGAGGGAGGGAGGGGGGAGGGGGAGGGGGAGGGGGAAAGGGGAGAGGGAGAAAATGTCTCAAAAAAAATGTAAATTATAAGAGCTGGGGATGTAAGTTAGTGGCAGAATATTCCCCTAGCATACCAAGGCCTGGGTTTGATCCCTAGCACAAATTTAAAAAAAAAAAAAAGAAAATTCAGAACTGGAAAAAAAAAAATTTAAGCCAATAGTGGGCCAGGCAGTTGGCTCACTCCTGTAATTCTTTTTATTTTGCCAGTCATGGTACCTGAAGGTACCATGGACAGCTGGGCACTGTACTTCAGCTTTTCAGCTCAAGGCTAGCGCTCTACCACTTGAGCCACAGCACCACTTCCGACTTTTCCTGTTTATGTGGTGCTGAGGAATCGAACCCAGTGCCTCATGCATGCGAGGCATGCACTCTACCACTGAGCCACCTTCCCAGTCCTCACGCCTGTAATTCTAACTACTCAGGAAGCTAAAATTTGAGGATTGTAGTTCAAAGCCAGCCTGGGTAACAAAATCTGTGATACTTTTTTTTTTGGTCGGTTGTGGGGCTTGAACTTGGGCCTGAGCGCTGTCCCTCAGCTCTTCAGCTCAAGGAGAGCCCTCTACCACTTGAGCCACAGCACCACTTCCAGCTTTTTCTGTTTATGTGGTGCTGAGGAATCAAACCCAGGGCCTTGTGCATGTGAGGCAAGCACTCTACCACTGAGCCACCTTCCCAGCCCCATCTGTGAGACTTTTATCTCCAATTAACCATAAGAAAACCAGAAGTGGTACTGTGGCTCAAAATGGTAGAGGAATGTGGCTTAGTGGTAGAGTGCTTGCCTAGCATACATGAAGCCCTACGTTTGATTTCTCAGTACCACATACACAGAAAAAGCCAGAAGTGGCACTGTGGCTCAAGTGGTAGAGTGTTAGCTTTGAGCAAAAGAAGCTCAGGGGCAGTGTCCAGGCCTTGAGTTCAAGCCCCAGGACTGGCACAAAAAAAAAAAAAAGGTAGAGCATTAGATAGCCTTGAGCAAAAGAGCTCAGGGACAGTGTCAAGGCCCTGAATTCAAGCCCTATGATGAACCAAAAAAAAAAAACAAATCAGAAACAGAAACAGTAGCATGCCCAATAGCACAATAGAGAAGCCAATTAACTTGGAGACTGGCCCTGCAATAGTAAACTATACAATAATAACATATAACAAAATATGAAAGTAAATAAATCTATGTATGTTGAAAAATGACAACATGTAGATATGAACTGTAGCAATGTTAATTTCCTTTTTTTTTTTTTGTCGGTCGTGGGGCTTGAACTCTGGGCCTGGGCGCTGTCCCTCA